ATAAGAGACAGCTACTGTACATGGCTTACGACCTAAAACTAAAAGATGGCCATGCTTTTCAAGCTAAGAAAAACATGAGTGACAGAATCAACCTTGATTGCATTTAATAATTGACATAGTGGATGAGGTTGTAAGTACTGATAGACGGGGTGAGAGGAGGAGTGCAAAATTTGGTGGCCACTTTGAAAAACCATGAGTGACAGATGCGCAACACAAAAAAGATTTAACAGACTTGGAAGATTATAGGGAAGAAATTCTGCCTGAATTAATTGAGGGTTGGGGGGGGGGGCGCTTACCTGAAACAGAGCAAATCAAAGTGGCCAAATTAGATAAATCATGGAGGTATAAAAAAGAAGGAGATATAACCAACTTAATTGGATTTGCTAAGCTAAGACCTAATGACCTTTCTCCAACGCTGATTGGCTTACCACTAAAAGGTTCAAAAAGCCCGCTATCTTGTTACCGCAGCGGGACGTCCGCTTTCATCCATATCATCGCAGCCGCTTGTTTCGTAAATTTCTAGTCTTATTGCAAGGCCGCTTAGCAACGCAGTCGCCTGAACATGTATTTTTAACTATTTTTAGTGTATTACATCCTCTAGAGGGCTTCTAGAGTTCAAAGGTTCGTTTCAATCGGAAGATATTTTATTTTGGAAGCGATCGTGAAAACTTCGAAGAAAATCGAGCAATTTTTAGTCAATTAACCCAAAGTTCAGGTATTAATGGATGTTATGATATATCTCAGCTTCCTGAAAAGCTCGGAAGATGATTCTTTTTTTAAATTATTGTTTAATAATCCACCTTTCAACATGTAATTATCACGATGTTGTACACACGTGTACATTTTATATACAAGCATAGCAACCTCGGCGGGTTTTGGCTGTGCGACCGACCCGACTTGATTACAGTGTAGAGTGTTACGTAACGAAGTCTAGGCCTGGAGTAATTTAATCATGACTGATGGGCCTAGGCAGAATATGTTAGGCCTAACCATGCCCTAAATAAATATAAAGATTCATATTCTAAACTGTCTACATATTCTTTTATTACTATACATGCATATAATATTTAATATTATTTATAGTATAGTAGTATAGTAGTATAGTATAGTAGCAAATGGGTATGATGTTTTATCATTATAAGAATACAGTAATTATTCAAATTTAAGGTGTGCAATTTTGAAATAAAGGTACAGTACTGATATATTTAATTTCTTTGCTGTGATATTTATTGCAACTTAACATAACAAAAGTAATACACAACTATTTCAAAAAATTTATACATTTACAGTATTTACATCTTTCACAACGGTGAACACGAATGAGGTACAACCTCAACTGTCTTGTTTTTTTATTACATAATACCATGGAGATACCCCCATGATAATACAGTACTACAGTTAATTTGAGAGCTGCTTTCTTAATGGTTTTTCACCCTTTTCTCCAATAGATGCATCTCGTTTCTTCCTATCCATTATGTACACATCTACAAATGCTCTGCATCTTATGTCTATATAGCAAGCAATAACTTTACTAAACAAAGTTGAGACAATTGATTCATTGGCTGTCTCGCCGATCAGCCGCTCCCACGCTAGTTTAATAGCTTGTGTGTTCAGCCTTTCACTTAGTTTTTGTTTTAAATTTACATTGCGAAGACTTTTGATTTGAGAAATTGCAAGAATTGCCTCGAGACGTTGAAAAAATAAAAATACCTTATTGTTCACCCTAAAAAGGCCCCAGACCTAAAAATATGTTCGATTTTTCATTGAGGTGAAAAGCATGAAAGTTCCTGCATACATTGTCCAGGCCTTCAGATGCGGTCTTCTTTTTTTCAGCTTCGCTTGTAACTTCCCACAGGCTGGTCATCAATGTGCTGGCAGTAGCTTCAAATACTGATTTCGATGCCTGCAACTCCATCACTGCACTGTTTATTTGCTTTGCCATATCTGGGTTGAGCTGCAGCATAGGGCTTTCAGTAACCTTTTTAAATGCCAACACTAGTATCTCAGGTGCATCGGAAACAGCATAAGTTTTGACATTAAAGATGAAATGCATTTGTTAATAATTGATTGATAAGGTGCAAATAAACTTGTATATTATGTACTATGTTGCCAGAAATCCAATCAGAAAGTTTTGACATTAAAGATGAAATGCATTTGTTAATAATTGATTGATAAGGTGCAAATAAACTTGTATATTATGTACTATGTTGCCAGAAATCCAATCAGAAAGTTTTGACATTAAAGATGAAATGCATTTGTTAATAATTGATTGATAAGGTGCAAATAAACTTGTATATTATGTGCTATGTTGCCAGAAATCCAATCAGAAAGTTTTGACATTAAAGATGAAATGCATTTGTTAATAATTCATTTATAAGGTGCAATAAAGTTCACCAAGTGCCATTGCATTACATTGTTTTATCATTATAAGAATACAGTAATTATTCAAATTTAAGGTGTGCAATTTTGAAATAAAGGTACAGTACTGATATATTTAATTTCTTTGCTGTGATATTTATTGCAACTTAACATAACAAAAGTAATACACAACTATTTCAAAAAATTTATACATTTACAGTATTTACATCTTTCACAACGGTGAACACGAATGAGGTACAACCTCAACTGTCTTGTTTTTTTATTACATAATACCATGGAGATACCCCCATGATAATACAGTACTACAGTTAATTTGAGAGCTGCTTTCCTAATGGTTTTTCACCCTTTTTTCCAATAGATGCATCTCGTTTCTTCCTATCCATTATGTACACATCTACAAATGCTCTGCATCTTATGTCTATATAGCAAGCAATAACTTTACTAAACAAAGTTGAGACAATTGATTCATTGGCTGTCTCGCCGATCAGCCGCTCCCACGCTAGTTTAATAGCTCGTGTGTTCAGCCTTTCACTTAGTTTTTGTTTTAAATTTACATTACGAAGACTTTTGATTTGAGAAATTGCAAGAATTGGCTTTGCTTCCTCCTCGAGACGTCAAAAAAATAAAAATACCTTATTGTTCACCCTAAAAAGGCCCCAGACCTAAAAATATGTTCGATTTTTCATTGAGGTGAAAAACATGAAAGTTCCTGCATACATTGTCCAGGCCTTCAGATGCGGTCTTCTTTTTTTCAGCTTCGCTTGTAACTTCCCACAGGCTGGTCATCAATGTGCTGGCAGTAGCTTCAAATACTGATTTCGATGCCTGCAACTCCATCACTGCACTATTTATTTGCTTTGCCATATCTGGGTTGAGCTGCAGCATAGGGCTTTCAGTAAAATAAAAAAAAAAAAATCAAATGCATTAATACACTAAAAATTAAAATAAATATACTTTTTGGGAGATTTTTTATTATAAAAAAAAAAACCCTTCCAAAAAGTATAACAAACATTAAAGTATAAAATAGTTGATATAAACTAATGAGAAGTAGGGTTCGCGCCGTAAGTAAAACCCGAAAAAAGGTATGAGGTAGGCTAGACCTACTAGGCCTAGGCCAAGAAATTAATTTTCGAGATTTTTGCTGGCGATCGCGGCCGAACTAGTTAATTAGTCTCGCACTGACATGAATAAATAAATGCGTAATATATAATTAGGACCTACACACTTACTTGTTTTAGATCCAGTGGATTTACTACCCGACTTTGTAGGTGTAGGTTCAGCAGTAGCACTGACGACAGGAGAGCAGTTTCCACACATCCAACCCGTTTTGCTTGTAGACGGGCCTAGGCCTACGCATTCCGTGTGGAACCACCCGACCGAGCATTGTTTGCCATTATACAGGCAATCATTTCTTCTGTGGAAGGACAATTGCAAATACACAGACACACATCTCCTCCTCCCTCTGATTCTATTTCCTCAGCCATTATGAGATCTATTTCGTCAATTTCGGCTTCAAATTCTTCGAGAGTAAACGCCTCCATAGTAATGTATACCGCGAATGAGAAATTACACAGTGTATATATCTAGCCAAATCTAGCGCGCTCGAGTACGACTAAGATCGACCCAAGATGACCCAAGCTAACTGTTACGTAATAAACTTTGACCTCGCAAGGAGTTTCAGGGCTAATTCTGTTTGCGATACCAGAAATAATCACTTTCTTAACGAGATAAACATAGGGCGGCTCCCTTGATAGATCAAAGGGATTACTTTGGTTATATCTCCTTCTTTTTTATACCTCCATGGATAAATTATTGTTGTGGCCTTCATATTCTTGTTGGCCTTGCGCATCAGGCAGATGCGAGTTTGTATGTGTGGGAAAGACTTGTGCTGGGTGGTGAGAAGAGGGGTACAGAGAGACTGGCAGCGTCGAATGTGAAGAGTGGTGAGAGTGGCGCTCTGCGCCTGATCTGCACTGTATGTAAGAGTGCAAAGGAGAGCGCGTGAGAAGAGTGGTAAGCCGGTGCAGTTTAGAGCGTTTTTTGCGAGTGAAAGAGGT